TTCTTCATCTCAAAAATCTCATTTATGTAAAACCTTCTAAATACATTTGGAATGTTGTTTTTCAGTAAAACTTTATATATATTATCTGTTGTTGTCTCTAGCTTTACTCTATACAAGGCTTGTCAATTTGACTGACTTCGTAACCACCAAAAAAAACAACAATGAAATAAATCTAAATTACCCTTCTTTCTTTCTAGAATGACTTCAAATTGTAACATGAAATTACATTTGTTTATCCTAAGTAGCTTTAAACTCGTAACAGTATACATCTATTTATAATTAAATTGTATTGTTTTATTGCCCATTGAACTGTGTCTAACTACTATTCATGCCAATATAAGTTGTAAATCACTTGAGTAACGTGCGACCCCTGATAACAAGATATAAGATTACATTACCCATGAGCTACTACTCTGAGCTGCTTGTGGGGCATGTCCCGTGAACATTTTTTATTGTCATTATTATTTATTTTACCTAATGTAACCTTCAGTGTTTTTTATTTTTACTTTTTAGTTACTTTTATAATAATAAATAAAGAATAAACATGAAAAACAAATAAAGTACTTACCTGGACCTCTTTTTTTTCTTGCTGTCAACTACTATGTTAGTAGTGCACCAAATATTTTTTATTTAATTAAATAATGCACCAAAGAACATAGAATAATAACATGTAAAAAGCAGATAATGTCCCATAACTATCACAATTTTTCTGGTTGTCTAACTATGCGACAAAAGCTGCTACAAATTCATCCAAGCTAGTTGATATGATTCAGAAAACAACATAATATAATACACCATTTGATAGAGGAAAATATTGTCTTTCTGTTGGTTATAGATAATATAGTATTAAACATGAGAGAGAACTATTAACAAATCTTGAAAGAAAGGATGTGACAGGTGGGAGTGTCTAAAGGGGTCTGATTTTCTATTTGATGACTGCGTAACCAAACAAGATTGAAAGCTATAAAAATTATGCTTTGTCTGAGCGATGATGATGATGATATAGTGAGTAAATCAAAAAAAAAGGGGGATGCCTAGAGAAAAAATGTCATTTCTCACACTCTGGGAAACTTGGGATTTTTTAATATATTATCTTATAAAATTAAGAACTTAAAATTTACATACTATTAAAATATGGATTATTAGCTATGATTTTATGCCATACTAATTGTTATAACATAAACAAAGAGTAGTTTAATTACATTTGGAATATAACTCACTAAAAACCTCGTGACTTGCACAGAGAAGGATGACAAGACGGTTAATGAAGTGAACTGAGCTTGTTGTGCTACGTTAAAGGTTGATAATTGTTTCATTACTTAACATTTTGTTATTGTTTTGTAATGTTTCTAGAAATTGATTAAATTGAAGTAGATTTGATCTTCTCTTCAGCTAACCAATAACAAGACAGCACAGTCTGTTCAGAATAAGCCAAGTCCTCGATCCAGTAAAACCTTTGTAGTAATAAAAGCTCAGAAAACTGCTAGTTTGCCAAACTCTGCTTGTAGCACCAACTCTGAAATTAAGTTGTTTAGAGAAAAGTAGCAGCTCGAAAAATCCAGCGTTCTTGGAGACAGTACAAAGATTCGGTAAGTTTCTTTCTATTTACATCAGTTCATGAGTCAGATTTTCTATTCTTATCAGTGGTCTATGAATTCTCAATAATGAACAAACCAATAAGTTTTGGTTCAAGTACTGAAAGCTGGCAAAACGTCTGTAACAAATAGGCCTAAGATATGTCATTAAAATCTCATAAACTGCAGAATTTTTTTCTCCACATTCCTCTTAATGTGTCCATTGAAAATTCAAAATCAGAAGCATGTAAGAATAGCATTTCAGAATTGTCTTTTGTTCCCACAACTGACTACCAAAGAGGCCTTTCAGTCAATACTAAAATCAGTCAGTTGAGACAAATGATTCTCAGAAACACACTTTATATATGCAGTACTACATTAATTTCAAAAACACTTTATACATGCAATACTACATTATTTTCAAAAACACACTTTATACATGCAATAATACATTATTTTCAAAAACACACTTTATATATGCAGTACTACATTAATTTCAAAAACACACTTTATACATGCAATAATACATTATTTTCAAAAACACACTTTATATTTGCAGTACTACATTAATTTCAAAAACACACTTTATACATGCAATAATACATTATTTTCAAAAACACACTTTATATATGCAATACTACATTATTTTCAAAAACACACTTTATACATGCAGTACCACATTATTTTCAAAAACACACTTTATACATGCAATACTACATTATTTTCAAAAACACACTTTATACATGCAATACTACATTATTTTCAAAAACACACTTTATACATGCAGTACTACATTATTTTCAAAAACACACTTTATACATGCAGTACTACATTATTTTCAAAAACACACTTTATACATGCAGTACTACATTATTTTCAAAAACACACTTTATA